AAACTATTTCAAAAAATTATTTTTAAGTCAATGGAAAGAACTTACTAGATATATGAAGAGGTTTTTTTTTTTTAATGCCAGAATGTGAATTCTCTGAGTCCTTCTATAAGACAGTGACAGTAAATGCTTTAGAGAAAAAGGGATGTTTGTAGTGGAATTTTCCAACAGTGTTTCCTAAGTAATACTTCCTTTTAGTGTTAGTTTCTTCTCCGCCCCTTGTTCGTCCAGTTTCTGCCAGTCTCTGTGCTCCTTCATAATAACTGACAGTTTCCTGCTTCTCTCTGTCTTTCCCACTGTCTTCTCTTCCTGTGTATAATATAATCTTCTTATTATTTCCACAAAACCCAAAACCAGGTCAGGCATTTCCATTTATAGTTATTGCCTGTGTGCACTGCTGTGTATTTCTGGAAAGAGGATGGGGTGTTAGATGAATTCTAATGAGCAGTGGTAGGTGAGACAGTGAAGAGAATTTGTATTTATATTTTACTGAGGGTATGAGCTTCACAATTTAAACCTGAACTACTCCTTTGGATGGCAAAGTTACTACGTTGCCCCAAGTCCTCAGACTGCTCACTTTTAGAAGTATTCTTTAGGAGGCACCTGGGAAGGGACTGGAATAAACAAGAAATATGATGGCGATATTTCCTATAATATTGATCTTGCTCAAAATCAGGTCACAGTCAAAATTGCTAATTTTCTCATTCCAATGCAAGAGCTCTTGGTACTTCAGGGGTCAGAGTAGATTTTCCCAAGTTGTTTTGGGGTTAATGCTTACCTGAATCTTGAGGTCAGTTTGATACCAAATCTCAAGACAATAATCTCTGGTTGATTTTTATTCTGTCCTTAAAAGGAAAAAAAAGTTGTGGGTGCAAAAGCAGATTTCTGATTGATATTCAGGAATGATTCTACATTGCTTGATTATATAAATAAACTTTGTAGATTATTGGAAATGCCTTGTTAAATTCAATTTCCTTTATAATTTTAGCCACTCCAGACCCTTCTGCCAAGCCTTAGGAAGTTTTGGGGTCAAGGGAAGGCCATAATAAAAATTGTAATTGCAGCTACATAGACTGTCTGTGTGGAATAGAGAAAAATGATTTTTTAAGATTAAATATTATACAATAAATAATTACCAAGTGGACCCTAGTATCTACTGGTTTGTAATACAATTTGATGTTGTGGAGTAGTAGCGGTAGAAGATGAAGCATGAAATTACCATTTATGAGACATTAATCAGGCCCTTCTTCTCCATGTTTTCCCTGCCTTCCACTGAATTTCAAATAAAGAAAAAAATTGTCTTGATTCTAGTGAGTCTTATAGAAAAGAACCCATCCGTCTCTGGATGGGTTCTTACTGATTTAGGACTCAATGGCATTGTCATTTCTTTCTCAGTGTCTCACCAGATGTTTTAGAGATATCGTCAGTGATCCTAAATATCCCAAATGATGATTTGGGAATCTCAAGCATGTAGACTATGTGAAGGCATGATCTTGTGTATTGCATGCCGTGTTCCTGGGCCTTAAACAGTGTCTGACACAAGTGCTCAGTAGCTTGATGTTGAGTTGAATTGACACTTTAATGTTGGGAAAGGAACTTTGTCTCTGGATTCAGATCAACCTTGGTTAGGAGCCTGGCTCTGCCTGCCACAGGGCAACCAGGGACGACTTACTTCACTTCCCAGTGCTCCAGCTTTCTCATGTGTAAGTTGCTGTCTGGAACTACATGAGTGAAGAACTAAGCACAGAGCTTGGGAAGTACTGAGTGCTTAGTGAATGATTGTTCCCTTATTAACTCACATCTCTCGCATCATTTCTCTGTTAGAATGTTCTACTTTTCAAAATGCAATTGATTCAAAAGGAAGCATTTTTAGAGAAAACCATCATGATTTCTACAAGGAGTACCTAGATGCAGAATTCCTGGGCAGAGGAGCTAACTCCTTCCTGTATTTACTAGCTTTACTGACCCTAAATCAACCAGTCACTTCCACAGAGGATCTCTATCAACATAAACAGGGAGAACGCCGCCCTCTGGATTCCCACCAGCCTTCATTATTTCCTCCGACCCTCACAGTCATTATTTTCCAGCAGGCAAGGAAGTTTGTGTTCAGTTGTATTTTTGGTTGTTTCAGTTTATTTTCCACTTGTCAAGTAGATTGGTATATGGACCTCTTCCATATCTGAGATGACCCAAGGAGCTGAAAATGCAGAATTTTTTTCTTCCTTGACATTTCATGGTTGATATATTAATTCCTCTGAAAGGTGATTCCTAAGCATGCTCATCTTTGATGTTGATTATGAGTTCTTACTGTCATTCAGTTGTTGTGGTATACCTTAAATCCCTCATTTATTTTGTGACTATTATAATCAATTATTGATCATTCATGGTGTATCTGTGCTTTCTAGTGCTGTGAAGGATAAGTAAGAGTGAGAAAGAAAGTTGAGGGTATAGGCTCTCTTCTCAGGGAGAAAATAAATATAAAGTGAATTAAAAATATATTATGTATAAAATATATTGTATATATAAAGTGGCTTGCATAAATAAGATATTAAATAAGAGGTTATTATAATTACCAGGTTTGTTGTTAAACTGGAGAGAAAATTCTTGTGTATACTAGACAACTAGAAAAAGTTATTTAGGAATATTTGCATGTACATGGCAGTATAGTAATTTATATATACATACATATGTATACATATATATATATTAATCCTCATTCAAGGATATGTTTATTGATCTTGTGAGAGAGAAGTATTGATTGGTTTCCTCCCATATGTGCCCTGACCAAGGATCAAACCCACAACATTTGGTTACGGGATGATGCTCCAACTAATGGAGCCACCTGGCCAGGGCAATATGTATATTTTTTAAAGTGCAAGAAATATCATAAATAGTCTGCTAACATCATAGGCTGTCCAGCAAAGAGGAAGTTACTGAAAAGGGCAAGAAGAAACTAGTGAGTATAAACAGCTGGTGCCTTCCCATGAGAGCTCAGAGATGAGAATCACCATGACCGTGGAGGGCGGAAAATTCCATTCTAACACGGGCCTGCAATACTGTCCAAGGAAACTGATCAGAGGGAATTAGGATGCAGGGGTAGGAGCTCCGAGCTAGGGATGGCTCTCTGTGAGGCGTGTGACAGAATCATAGGTCGAGGAGGTCCTTCTGGGTTAAAGATGTCTTGGTTAGAGTGACCTTGGCTATGAGAAATGCTGGGAACATGGAAGAAAGAAGGGCAGGATTGAGGCTGGCTGGAGTCGGAACTAGAGGAAATTAACTGGGAAAAAGGATAACCTTCCCTACCTCAAGAAATGGGTTAAAAGTCTAAATCACGAGGTCTAAGAAGGCACAGAAAACTGTAACTAAGTATTTCCCTAAATGCCAAAAAGTCCTGGGGATCACGTAGGACATTTGTGAAAAACGCGTAGTCACCCCTACCCCAGATGTCCTGAATCAGAACCTGTAGGAGAAAGGCTTGGGACTCTGTATCTTTAACAAATTGACCTGGTGACTTTTTATGACTAAGTTTTGGAGACACTGCTTTATTCTAACCCTGTTTTTGCCCAAATTCAAGTTGTCTGGCACAGGAGGTTTGCAGCGCAAGGCTAGGAAGCAGGGCTTTTGGATCAGAGAGGTTGTGTAAATAGTGTATCAGGATCCCTTCATCCTGTTCAGTTCCTCAGGGTCATTTTCAGTATAATTATGGGCCAGCTCTCCAAAGGGAAAGGAAACTCTCAGAGGGCTTGAATAGTGCTATTAAGCACAAGAGACCCTCCCACAAGGACCCTTAGTCCCCTGAGGCATTGTGGGAGACTCTGAGGAGGACAGTACTCTGAGGTAAGGCAAGAGCAGGCAGGTGGAAGTGGGCATGAGGTGTAAGGAAATGATTATGGGGCCAAGAGGGGGGACTATTAGACCAGGAACCAATGAATTTTGACTTGGACCATTCCTACAGAGTGAATGCTTGTGTCCCCCACCCCCAAATCCATACATTGAAACTGAATCCCCAATGTGATGGTGTTGCGAGGCCTGTGAGAAGTGATTTGATTATGAAGGTGGAGCCCTCATAAGGGGATTGGTGCCCTTAGGTGGGGCTCACGGGGTCAGAGTTCTCTCCTTCCACCACGTGGGGACACAGTAAAAACAAGCCTCTGTGAACCAGGAGGGTGGCTCTCACCAGACACCCAATCTGCTGGCACCTCGATCTGGGATTCTTTTTCTAGCCTCCAGAACTTTCAGAAATAAATTTCTGTTGTTTATGAGCCACCCAGTCTATGATATTCTGTTGCAATAGCCTGAGTGGACTAAGACAATCATAAAATAAATAACAGAAATTACAGGGGTTTTTTTGTTTCTTTGGATATATTCCTGGAAGTGGGATTGCAGATCCATTTTTAATTTGTTGAGTTATTGTCATATTGCTTCCCACAGTGGCTGCACCAATGCACCCATGTTCATGCAGTGTTATTTACAATCGCCAAGATATGGAAGCAGCCAAAGCGCCCATCAGTAGAAGAGTAGATGAAACAAGTGTGGGACATTTACACAATGAAACTCTACTTGGCTATAAAAAAGAAAGTTTTACCCTTTGTGATAGTGTGGATGGACCTAGAGAACATTATGCTAAGTGAAATAAGCCAGTCAGAGAAAGACAAATACCATATGATTTCACTCCTACGTGAAATCTAATTAACAAACTGAACTGAACTAACAAGCAAAATAGACAGACTCAGAGAGAGAGAGCAGGCTGACAAGAGGTGGGGATGTTAGGACGTGGAGGGACTGAGCCAAAAGGAAAAGGACTCACGGACATGGACAACAGGGTGGTGATTGTGGGGGGGGGGGGTGGTATAAGGGAACTAAATGGTAATGGAAACATATATTAAACATATGAAAAAAGAAAAAGAAGTGTTAAAAAAGAAATTATACCTCCTTTTAAAAATTCAGATAATAGCTTGGCATATCCTTTTAAATTCTGATACATTTGTTTCCTCTCTCAACAGGAGCCTCCCGTTGTTCTTCTCGTGGCCTAAAGAAAAGATAGACTTTCTGGTTCACTGTTCTTTACGCCGATACTACAGGTTATATTATCATATTTTGTATCCTCAGCTTCTATTTTTGAATCAGTCAATCAATATTGGAATAAAATTTATTTAATGATTTAGAAGACTTAACTCTTTATCTTTAAGAGTCCTCTCTGCCAGTCACTCTCCTACCTTTTGCTTATAATTGTACCAATACCACCTCTTTCATGAGCCCTCACTGGCTCCTCTGTCCGTGCAGGACTTCCTCATCCTTTGAAACCCCATGGAATGCTGGTTTATATGTTCTTTATGGCACTCAATTTATTCCTCTTACTCTTCAACAACACTTAATTCACCTTTACGTGGAACTTACTTATAACCTTTTTGTTCCACAAGGGAATAGAAGAGAATATAAAATAAATGAGAAGACAGTAATGAGAGGAAAATAAGTATCGTGCAGTAAGATGAGGCCAGCTGTCACGAGCATGTACTGGGTACTTGCCATGCCCCACATGCTAGACGGTCCCTGCTCTCCTGCAATGCAGAAGTGAATGGGGACACAGCTGTGGCATAGAGACCACTCCAAACCTAGGAAGCTGCTTCAGACCACCACTAGAGATTTGATAATAATTTTGCCCCCTACCTACCCATCTTCTTACTAATTCACCCATTTCTCACTATTGTTTGCTGCCAGAAAGTAGGCTACAGTGTCTTATCAACTGTGCTAACACTGAAGGACTTTCTAACTCCGTAGGTACCTTGGGAGCTCTCCCTCTAGCCTCTTCAAAGTTCAAGGGCTTCCCTGACAAAACCAGAAGACCATTCACTTGATTATGCCAGGGAGACAGGGTGTCCCTCCGCTTTTCCCAGGGTATTTCCATGCCGCTTGTGTGTACTTAATACACACCATCCAGTAAAATGGACCCCTGGCAGTTTTCTGTTACAGCTGCCTCTGGAAGAGAAACTTCATTTGTACAATGTTTTCTCTACACTGGCTAAATGGCAGCAAATAAGATAAGGAAATGATCATCATTTTGTAAATGTTAGACCAGCAGCATGGCACCAACGTGGTCATCTGTGGCTCCAGGGCAAGCACAGCTGGAGGGCTGCGGCTGCACTAATGTGCCAAAGTGTCCGTTATCATCGTGGCAATGTAAACAAGCTAGGGGTTTTCCTCAAATCGCTACCTAATTTCTACATTTTGACCAAAATCCTTGTAGAGGAGAATTCCTTCTAAGTCATTTTTGAAGTAAAGCACTTGCAGTAGGAACATATTTTAAGAATATTTATTCTAATTTTGATTTATATCTTTATGTATAAAGCACGAAGAGGAAAAACTATAGTTGAAATAAATTTTATTGTAATTCACCTTATAAACAGTATTTTATTATAGCAAGTATCATATCAAGTAATAACTAGTCATCAGACTTTTTCTCACAGGACTTATTTATTAAAAAATGCTGTTTTTTGCTGCTCTAATTTTAAAATTCAACTAAGTTGCTAATTTAAGAGCGTGGCCTGAGCGCTCCTACATGAATTAGAGTTTCCGTGAAATGTAAATGAACATTTCTCAGAGGAATGTTAATTTTCCGTGAAATGTAAATGAACATTTCTCAGAGAAATGTTAATTTCCTGCGTCTTTTCCCCCATTATATGATGAGTCAGTTACTTTAACGTAGAAAGAGGATGTTAGACCCTGCTCCCCAAAAGAGCCGAATGCATACATTTATCTATATCAGGAGCTTTGCCACCATTATTTCTGGGTTTGTTTTGGAGGGTGCGAAAGGCAGGGCCAGTGTGGACAGCAGCATACAGGGGTTGGCCTGTGATCCAAAGGCAAGCAGGTCTCATCCGGGAGGTCATCAGGTGATGCCAACACGGGTGACAATAAAAGCCAAAGGGAACTAAATCAGGAACCTGAGAGCAACTACTAGGGATTCAAATAAATTTGCAAAAGCAACTTTCTTGCATAGGACAAATATTTAGTAAATCCCTGGCTGTGTTTCTCAAGGTTTTCTGATCACAATTTAGTGAAAAATATATTTTAAATCATAGCCTAACACATGCTCACTCACAGCCCTCATTGTGTCTGAATTTCAGAAAGATCCTGCCCTCGCCATGGGTGAAGCACTCTGATGTTTTCAGTTCTCTTAGGTTCTATTCTATTTATTTAAAGATGCTGGCAGGAGATGTATGAAGCTGATTTCATGATCTGCTAATTGATAGAAATCTATAGCTTCAAATATACTGCTTTGGAGACTGGGGAGATGGGATGAGGAGAGTAGGAAAGAAAAGACTGGATGTGTGTTTTCTGATGTCAAGGGTATTGAAAGCCCCTTAGGAAGTTAGACTGTAACACGTGAAACAACAAAATAATACATTTAGAGGAGGGTAAATCAAAACAAACACATTAACACGCAAGTCAGTATTAATACGAGTTGCTTATAGAAGTGTCGACTTGAGAGGCGAATAGTTAAGCTCAGTGATGAGAGGTTTCCTGGGAAAAATAACTGGAAAGCAGCTTTTGAGTGACACGGGTTGATGGGGAGTTCAGCAATGGAAACAGCCCGAGGGTGTCTCAGCGAGCTCTGAGAGTGTGCGGCGCTCCATTAGGGTGTGTTCAGTATGGAAGGATGAAGAAATTAACTTAGGAGAGGGGAGCTAGATGGAAGCTTTCAGTACTTTAGCCTCAAAGACGTTAGGAAAAAACTGCCTTTGCCTGTAGAAATGGCACAATGCAATTGTGTTTAAGGTTATTCTTGTGAACTTGTTGAGAGAGGATGCATTGCCATAGGACATCATGGGGACAAAGGAGATTGTTGTTGTAACCTGGAGAGTGTGAAAAACCTGATCTAATGTCGCAGAAGTGAAAATAGACGCAGAGAAGAATCCAGAGGACTTGACGATGCATTGGCTCCTGTTAATCAGTTTTGTGATGTGTCTTCTTGGTATGAGAGTCTAATGCTGGGTGTGACCCTAGAAGTGATTCAAGGGACTGGCTGTCCACGGTATCTCCTGTTGCTCTGCCAAGGCACTGTCTTCCTCCAGCTGACCCTGATTTACCAGTGTTCATCATAACTGGGCTAAACCACAAAGATCAAAGTCATTCAAAAGACTTAACGACTGATAGAATGGGACAATAACCTTTTGTCAGCCGCCCTCTGACCTCTGAAAAGCTATGTGTGCGTTTAGGAAATCTGCCAGCTTTGTGTAACTGGACCAGACCTTCTAACATAATGAAAGAGATTTTTCATATGAGGGGAGTGGGGCTGGACCTCAGATCCCTGCCTCCTCCTTCTAGAGATTCAGCTTTCCCTTGGGGATCTCATCAATTGCCCCTGTTTCTTTTTCTGCTGGGGTCACCCTTCTTTACCTCCCTTGCCTGGGAAGATCTAGCTAGGCCTGAGCTCATTGAGGGAGCTTGATAGCAGATTTAGCTGCAAGAACGCATTATTATCAAGCATGCTGTCCCTCAGAACCAACAAGGGAATGCATAAAGGGCAGCTGGCATGGAGTGAGTGCTCAGCCCCCTCTTGTCACTCATGTGCACACTGCCCCCGCTGTTCACTGATTAAAGTGCCTGTGCATTGATCTCTCCCTTAACTAGCTGATAAAGCCCCTTACTCATCTCCATAGTTCCTTACTACTAACACGCAGTAACTTGCACTGATGTTATAAATAAATTAACAGCACATAAGATTATAAAGTGTTGTTGTTATTCCAGGTGTCTCTACAAGGCCGAAGCTAAAATTTATGTGTTTTACTTAGGACAATAACTGAATCAGTTACTAGAAATTAGTTTGTTTATCAGATTAGCAGAAATTTGTTATTTGGCCTTGGACTATCTCAGAGGCCATACATGGTGACCGTCAAAGGGAAGACCTTGGGAAGATGCCAGGCATCCTCAGAGGCCCCCAATGAAAGGAAGTTCTGTATATAAACAGAAGCAGAGCACCAAAGTCAGGCTTCATCTACTTGATACCTTAGCTCAACTTTTGTGCCTGCATCACTGCATATTTACTAAATGCTGTCTCCTCCCACCTTGTTTATGGTGCACTTCTTCAGTATCCCAAAGAGAGCACGAATAGAACATACTGTTGCTTTTCAAGGCTAGACACTATGGGCTGTCTAGCCTCTTCACGTCTACAGCATCGGCACATTGATGCTCAAGAATTATATATTTGTGTCTGGAAAAATACATACAACTCCATGCAGTGAGGGACTGTCTCTGTTTTGCTCATTTTATCTGTAGCCTAGCACATACTGGTCTCAATGAGTATTGTTGATTCTCAATGAGAATAAATGTCCTCCGTCATCTCTGAATTCTGTCCTCCCTCCACATACATCATCCTCTCTTTCAGGGCTGGGCCAACCATTGTCTCTGACAACTTCAACTCCCACTTTCTTGTATTCATCATATCTGTAAGTATACAACGAAACATTAACTTTTTCAATTAAAATTCTACAACCAATGACTAAATCCTCTAAACGACTTTCATATTTGTGATCAGCTCTAGAGCTAGGGGCTGGTTGAACCTGACCACAGATTGCCAGTCACATTAGATGGTTCAGTAGTATCGACTCCTTGTTGAAGCTGTAGGTTAAGTAACCTTTATATGTCAGTATAGAGGATGATGCATTTAGGAACTCCAAGTTTCTTTCTTAGTCATTCACAGTCTTTTTTTCAGGGTCGTTGTCGGATAATTGCTCAGATGAACTGTGAAGAAATATCTGTACATTCCTGTGTAACGAAGACCAGCTCTTCCACCCTGAAAAATCCCCATGCTGTTCTCCCACCAAGAGGACCTCTCGATGTAACTGGAAGAAGTTTGGAAAGTAAGAGTATTTCTGTCTGCTAATGCTGCACAGACATTGGAAGTTATTTCTGAATTGCAGTCTACCAAGTCTAGGTCCACATCTGCCACATCATGTTTATTTTTGTTAACTACATGTAATATTTTTAATATACTATTAAAAAGAAGGAAAAATAAAAATGAGCATTTTCTTTTTCATTAAATATTCTCCTACAACCCCACTGTAAAGAAGTGCTTAGTGCTACAGCTAATGAATGGCTTTAATGTAAATAAGTTAAAATAGAATTCACAACAACAGAATGCCTGTTCTTATTTAAGCAGCCACAGTTTCTCCCAGGACTTCATTCTCAGCTGCTAGGAAAAAAACACTAGACACAAAGAAACCTCCACTCCAGGTAAGATAAATGCTTTCAATTTGATGTGTCACTGAAGATCTGAATCTTAGGTTTTTTTCTCTCTAAAATACCAAAGATCTTTCTTCTAGGTAAAGACATAGGAAGATCTCTGTTGTTTGGCACTAATTAAGGGAGCACCCCAAATTGCTGTATTCATTTCTTTAAGTCTCAGATAGCACCTAGATGTCAAACTGATCACTTACTCTTTCTGGAAGTTTTTAGGGGGAGAAATCCACTCTTTCTCTATGACATAGGGTTATCTAGCAAGCTAGACAAGATAAATAGCACGAATTTGTGGGCTCTTCCTTGATTGTACCTAATAATGGTCTTGATTATGCTTGACTTACAAGCCTACATCCACGGTCATTTGTTAAGCAGCTAGTCTTTTCTGAAACTGGGACGCCAGTATGAGTAAGACTCAATCTTGTAAGGAAGAGAGCTTTCAAACTCCATGGGCAAAGTAGATTATTTGTTAATGCTTTTGAAGAGTGGGAATTATTTGTAAATAACATTTGTGAGCTTTTTAAATGTAATTTATTATTAGACACATCTACGGCACAAATGGCCTGGCCTGCTCCTTGCAGTGTGTCATGCTCCTTTTGTCTTGAGGCCCCGTATCTGGAACTTTCGGTTGCTCCCACGTTGGAAAGTCCTTAGTAACAAATTACCAAAAAGAAATGTTTGATAACTGCACACAGACCATTGTCTTTGATATCTGTGTCGATAATCATCAGCTTGGTGCCTTTCTTAATGTCGCACAAGAATGCACTCTCTTTCACAAGAGGATCTGACTGACCTCCGTCGATGGCTGTCCTAATAGCTGTTCTAAGGGTGATGGCTCCCCACTCAAACAGGGCTTTCTGTCCTCCTAGCACGATTAGCTACTGCTTATCTCTTTCCCTAATTCATCAAATATTTCCTGAGCATCTATTTGTTCTAGGGTGATGCTGCTCTCTGCTTTTGGGACCACATAACTTGGGCCTACTGCATTTCCCTGACTTTCTAAAAGCCACAGGATTTTTGTTTGTTTTTTCCTTTTGTTTTTAGAAAATATATTTTATTGTTTGTTTTCTTTTGTTTTTGAACAGTATTGTATTTTCTGTTGAGTAAATTCTTTGTAAGAAGGTTTTGGTTTGGTCTTTAATTATTCAGATGAACCCGAGAGTCCCTCAGCTGTCAACTGATAGGCATAGCTCTTTCCAGATTCACGGAGAAAGGAGAGCTCAGAAAGGCCATCCACAAACTTCTTTAGCAACTTCTGGGCAAAGTAAACTGACACACAAAACAGAAACAGAGGTGTGGGTGCATGGAACGGACCGACAGCCACCAGAAGGGAGGGTGGTGGTTTTGATAATTGTTCCAGTGCATGTCCTGGTTACACTAGAGATTTTCCCTGGTACTTGGACTAATAGGAAAGTAAGGTAACTCAGGTTTAATTGAATGTGGTTTGTCTTCATTTGATGGGACTAAGGAAAATTATAAGCATTAAAAAATTTAAATCACTTTAATGAAGACAAAGTAATTTCCTAAATTAATTAATATCATTTATTAACTACCATTAAACCCTTGTTAATTAAATAGAATGGTAAAGTTAAATAAAAAGATGGATGATTTCCTGAAGGAGATGAAACTGTGATTTAAACATTGTTCTTAATTGGTTTAATGGACACGTACAGCATCGTGTAATTCAGCCAGGACTTTGAACTACAGGATGATGAAAAATCTCACACAGGTAGAGCATGATGGGGCAGGAAACAATGAGGATTATTTTCCGGAGAATGACTGTAATCTAGTTTACTCTGTTTCAGTGGTTATTGACTTTTGTTAGTTAGAAATTCAATATACATAAATCAACTAGTATTTACTGAGTATCTCTGTTATGCCAGGCATAGGAGCTGAGGAGTTATGTGAGCAAAAATAGTTCCCTTTTAGAATCTGGTGAAAACGAGGGATCCTTCCTACAGAAAAAATACAGTGTATGCATGCAAAACTGTGGGCCTTGGCTAAGAAAAAATGGGAAGTTACTGTGTTCTGTTATCTCTTTCCTTTGTGTCTTTTATAGACTTGGTTTATTTCAGTTAACCAAAATGATGAGTAATCATTATTCATTATTATTTCCATTGCCATTTCAATTACGACAACTCAACTTGTGAGAAGTCTTTTAAATTAGCTCCTGTGAAATATATGAGTATTGTTGTGTGTACCAGAAGTTTGTTCTTTTTTATCACCGAGAATAGAATTTCACTGTATCAATATCCCACAATTTGTGTTTCTGTTTTTTCCTAATAGACATTTGTGCTACTTCCATTTTGAAGCTAATATTAATAAAACTGCTACAAACACTTTTGTGCTTGTTTCCAAATGCTTTTTGTAAACATTTATGTCTCTGTGATATTTATGTTTATAGTGATATTCTTGGGTCTTAGGGTGGGCAGATGTTTGCTTAACTTTCAGAGAAATTGCCAAGTAGTTTTCCAATGTGGTTGTACAGTTTTACACTCCCACCAGTAACATGTAGGAGTTCCTGATGCTCCACATCCTTGCCAAAATTGGCTATTGTTAATCTTTTAATTTTTGCTACTCTGATGGGTATGTGGTGGCATCTTATTGAAATTTGAATTTGCATTTTTCCAATAACTGAAGATCTTGAGTACCTTTTCAGCATGCTTTTTAAATATTTAGATATCTTCTTTTATGAAGTAAGTATTCTAGTCTTTCATGCATTACAGAAATCATTATGGATTTGCTCTTTATCTTTTCTATTAGTCTGTGGCTTGCCTTTTTACTTTAATAACAATGTATTCTCATGAATAAATGTTTTTAAATTTGATGAGATCTACTTTATTATTTTTGTTTTAGAATTAATGTCTTTTGTATCCTAAGAAATTGTTGTCTACCCGAGTAGGTTTTTTTTTTTAAAGATTTTATTTATCCATTTTCAGAGAGAGAGGAAGAGAGAGAGGGAGAGAAACACCAATGTGTGGCTGCCTCCTGAGCACCCCCCCACTGGGGACCGGGCAGCAACACAGGCATGCACCCTGACTGGGAACCGAACTAGTGACCTTTTGGTTCATAGGCCGGTACTCAATCCACTGAGCTACACCAGCCAGGGCTACCCCAGTGTTTTGAATACTCTTAACAGAGATAGAGATGAGGATGTATCTTTTTAAGATTATGAATTCACACTGATTTTTTTTTTTAATTCTAGAGAGAGAGGAAGAGAGGGAGAGAGAGAAACATTGACGTGAGAGAAACACCAGTCCAGGAACCAAACCTACAACCTAGGTGTGTGCCCTCACTGGGAATCAAACCCTCAACCTTTAGGTTTATGGGATGATGCTCCAATGAAGCAAACCACACCAGCCAAGCCACACCTATTTTTAGTTTAATTTATTCTTTCTTGTTTTGTGTTTATTTCTCATTTACCTTATTATTATCTAATTTTCTCATAGTAGCAACAACTAAGTTGTTCAATTGCATTTTATAACATAAACTTTTATTTGGAAAGAGAATGCTTTTGAAACTTAAATAAAAACACCCCACCAGACTTCACGGCATTTAAAGTCAATATCATCATCGTCATCTTTTACAATCCCCTGCATGAGGATAATCCAAGCAGAATTGTTTGTTAGGGACAATCTGGGTTTTCTGGGACCTGAAGCTTATGTAGTTTAGGGAAGATTTTTTAAGGTAAAGAATTTTGCATCCCTTTCATCTGAATTGCCACGTTTCCACACGTGTCAGACATGCCAAGATGCAATCTGGCATGTTGAGATACAGAGATATGCAAGTTGCCCTCAGAAGCACTCACTGCTTGTGTGTTGCTGTAAATTTGTACTTATGGAAATTGTGAAAATGTTTGTTTTGTTGGAGTCTCATAAAAATACATGAGCCCCAGCTGGTGTGGCACAGTTGTTTGGAGTATTGCTCTGTACACCAAAAGGTTGGTGGTTTGATTCCTGGTCAAGGCACATACCTAAGTTGTAGATTCAATCCCTGGCTAGGGAGCATATGGGAGGCAACCAATAAATATTTCTCTCTCTTTCTCAGATCATTAAACATATTTTTAAAAAATACATCAGACATGTTTACAGTTGTATACAATATAGAGCTTATTTTTGACAAAATAGAAATTTCATTTTCATTAGGAGACTCATTAGGAGACAATGAGGTCAAATCTTCAACTTGAAATTTTACATGTCTGATGCTTGGAAGAATTCTCCATAGAGCAGCTTCTGGCTTTTTTCTCTCTATGTTCGTAACATAATATAGGCCAGCATCCCCCGTCTCCATGTCATGACGCCAGATGAGTCACCGAGTGGGCACTTAAACTGTTCATGGAAGACAGTGTTCCCTGGGAGGCTACCAGTAACCTAATTACACAGGGAAGTAACTGACAATGACATCAGTATATCCCAGTAAGTCCAAGGAAAGTGTGTCTCAGCTCACCTGTCTCCTACCTGGATCTTCAAAAACACTTCTGGCCACTCCAATGCCACCCAACAGGTTGGAAAATATGACGGAGAGAAACTATTGGTTAGAAGAAAAAGCTGTCTTAAATAATTATAATTAAAATATATAGCATTTACAAAAATATAAGTACTTGGGAATATGTTGCTGGACCCTCTTCTAGACCTTGGAAAAGGCCTGTGCAAGGGAGGTGTTTTAAAGCTTGAGATTTATTATTTCACAGTAAATATGCTTCTCCAGATTCTTATTTACTCCAGGGCATAAATCAAATGCATAAAGTAAAAAGATTTTTAGAACTTTTATAATTTTTCCAAGCATACTTTCAAAAGCATAAGTATTGCTATAAACCATTGGAGAAAATGTCTAGTAATGTTATAAAGTGTATTGAATATTTCAAATTTGACATTTTCATGGTGAAGGGATGAGTTAAGCGGAAATTTGGGATTCTGAGGAATGAGCTCTTGAGTAGTTAAACTAGGTTAACCAGCATTTTTAAGTTGATAAAAATAATAGATCTTATTTGTACATCTTAAATGATGTATTATAATGCTCACATGTGACTTCCACTTTATTCTATTTAATTAAATAAAATTATTTATGCACCAAGATCATTGCCTGCCATAAAGAAAAATGTTAAGTATGTTAGTTTCATCCTCTTAGCTTCTAATTAAATTTAACAAAGATGTCGGTTGCATACTATTGTGCCCAAAGTTATGCTAGATTGAGTAATTAAGAAAATATATCTTTTTTATTTATTTAAGATATATATATATAATTCATAGTTTGAAAAGAAATGGGAAGGGGTAGCATTTAATTCAACAAATGCAGATTTACATTTCAAGCTATAACAGGCAGGGATTTAAAAAATATATATGTTTTATATATATATAAAAATGTTATATATATATATATATATAAAACATTGTCTCTGTCCTTGAGAAGTTTATACTTTGCTGCCACAATTTGACAGTAAAACACGTGTAAATAAGTGCTCTGTTGTCTTATATACATGACAGGTAGCTAGCCCTTTAGGAAAGGGCAGCCATGTGACCTGGAGTGGTCAGGTAGAATGTGAACTGATTCTTAATGAATGGACAAGGTCTGGATAGGCAGTGAAAAAAGAGAGGTTCCTGGAAGAGTAAATGCTTTCTCATTCACAAGCAGAGCAGATAGTTTTTTAAAGTATTTAGAAATTTGCCATATAGATTGTGGTGCTTGCAAATGCTCTTTTAAGTTGGTTATAAAACTATTCCTTAAGAGGTGTTTGGCTCAAATCTCCTTTAGAAATTCAGAGGAGGACTCAGAATAAGGAAGACAATCTTAAAAAAGAACAAAGTCGGTCAAGGTTGTGCTTAAGCCTTGGTAGCCAATTAGATTTTTACCTTTTGCCATTGAATGTGCATAGCTTGGAGGCAGCTGTACAATGCAGAATTTACTTTGTTGTTGCACCGTTGCAGCCAGGAGCTAGTAGCTTAGAGGTTCCTTCTCTGATTGCTCTTCAGAGGTGTTGTTAAAAGAACAGCTTCTCCTCCCAGAAAGCTTCTCTACAGACATTGATTGGCAAGTCTCCTTCTTTCTTCCAT